CCTTTGCATGTTAGGCCACACACCCCTAATGTAGCCAATCCTAATGAGTTTCTGCTGTTGGGTGTGGCCTATTATGCTAATGAGTTCCTGCTGGGTGTGGCCAACTCGGGAGCCAGCCGGAACTCCGTTCCTGTGCGTTCCTGCCCAAAAATAGCCCTGCTCCTTGACTTTCGAATTGGTTTTGGAACATTTTGAATGTAGTAACAAAGAATGAAGTTCTCCGTGTGCAGATTACGTTTCTTCATTCCTGAGTAATCACTGTACATATCCCCCGTGATGTGCAGGACTTTTGTATCAAATGGTTGGAATTCCGGCTAGGTAGGGTTGCCAGCTCTGAGTGCGGAAATACTGGAGATTTGTGGGGTGGAGCCTGTGGAGGACAGGGTCTGGAGAGTGGAGGGACCTCAGCAGGGTATAAAGCCATAGGGTCTACCCTCCAAAGCAGCCATTTGATCCAGGGGAACTGAGATCTGTCATCTGGAGAGCAATTGTAATAGCGGGAGATCTCCAGGTCCCACCTGGAGGTTGGCAACCCTACTAGATAGGCCTGAGCCTTTCCCCAGACACTACCCCATATACTTCTTCTTTTTTTGGCAGTACTCCAGCAATTTCCATTTCCTGCACTCCACTCTCTTTTCACGGGCTACTATTCAAGAGTATTTTGTCTTTTGCTGCCGCAAGAATGCCTAAGGATCTAAACCACATGTTCATCAAAACCGTTGACTCTCGTTTTGCTAATGTTTCTGTTTACTTACATTTCTGGACTGGGTCTCACTTAAGCTGAACCATCTGGTTCCCAAGCGTTGCCTCTAATGTCTCTTTCCCATTCTTTACCCAGGTGTTCTAGAGAATGACGCTCAGAACCGTGAGTATCTCAAGTGGGAAGCTTTGCAGTCTGCCATTGCTGAACTTAGCAAAGCGCATGCTAATGGATGCGACCCCATAATCACCAGAGAAACAGTTCAGTTTCCTGATGGCACGTGGACACTGTTCTTGCTGTAATGATAAGGGGGTGAAGACCAGTGCTCCCTCTAAGCTGTGGAGTCTTGTGAGCCAAAATCCTACTTTGTGAGCTACTGGCATTAAAGTTGTGAGTGAGTGATTTAGCTACTGCATAAATTAGTTTGCTCTGGAGCCATCCTTCCTGAGCTAAGACAAAAATGTGTGAGCTGGACGGTAAAAAACTGTGAGCTAGCTCACACTAACTCAGCTTAGAGGGAACACTGGTGAAGACCTCCTCTTTGGCCGGGATTCTGGACACCACTGCTGCTCTAGAAATACACGATCAGGAGTGCGGGTGGTTCTTTATCAGATCTCTGAGCAGAAGAATAAAATGCTCTGAAGCACTAAGTCATCAAGGAATGTTCTTATGAGATAATTTTTCTCTTATGTTATGTTCTTATGTCCTTATGAGATAATAAGTTCTCTTATGTTCTTATGAGATAATTTTTCTGTCAGATCTTTTTCTAGAAATGAGCCTGGAGGGGGGAAATATAGGAAAGGTGCGTCAGGAGAAAAACTGGTGAACAGGAGTTTGGCAACCCCTGCTTACATCCCTTATGCTTCAAATGCTTTTTGGGCAGACCTATGTTGAAAGTCATGGTTTTTCTGCCACAACTACTTTGACCTAGTATGGCTGTTAACTAATTAATTGGTTAAAAACCTAACGGGACTTCTAATCAGTTGGCAAAACTGGCATCAATATTTGAGGAACCTGACCTAAAGTGGTTTGGTTCAGGCCAAATTCTGGATTTGGTTTCAGAAACTGGTTTCATCCTAACCAGAGAAATCACGTTTTCTTCTCTCTGTCCTTTTTTAGGAGAGTTCGAAAATGGCCTTGAGTCAGGTAAGTGCCACAGAACTGCAGGGAGGATGGTTCTTTCAGTGAAATTCAGAGCCTGCCTCATAAGCCCAGTGATGGGTAGCCCTCTCCACTTGGTGATCCCCCCCCCATTGCATAGTTCTTAAAAGCACAGGAGCCCTGTGTGGAAAAAAAAGTTGGCAGCTATTGGTGAGGCAAGTGTAAATGTTTCATTTCCTTCTTCAGTTTGTATTTTATGCAGAAAGGAGTATCGTAGATGCATTTGGCAGATGTGAATTCTTGCTCCTTTCAGAAAGGAGAACAATTTCCTTTCATTCTATCTCTGCCAGATGTGTGTCTTTTTAAAGGGTTAACATCTCTGATAGGCTTTTGACCCAGAGAAGGGGGTGGAGCCTGAGAAGGATGAGCTGCCAGTTCACGGGGGAGGGCCTGGTGGGACATGGCCAGAATCTAGTGGTGCCTTGCAGATGCTAAGCATTTAGGGTTGCCAGCTCTGGGGTGAGAAATTCCTGGAGATTTGGGGGTAGAGCCTGGGGAGGGTGGGACTTTGTGAGTGGTGGTACCTCAGTGGGGTATAATGCCATAGAGTCCACCCTCCAAAGCAGCCAGTTTGTCCAGGCCCCCCTGAAGGCTAGCAACCCTATGGTATTGCACCTAGCAGGCCATGGAGCAGAATTGGCATCGGATTGGGGTGTGTGTGTCAGAGTTTGTTGTGTCCGCGGACCGCCACTGGGCGCCCGCGATTCAGCGAAGCTTGAGTCCGGAGAACAATGGGGACCAGGCTCCTGCACCCTGCCACTAGGGGAACCAATGGGACATTGGCGGGAGATTTGAATGGGCCAATGGGAGGTTCCCCAGACTGTATATAAGCGGCCGGTCGGCCGTTGGTGGGTGTGCGTGTGGTGTACCAGTAAAGTGTGCAGTGTATCATGCGTGCCTTAGCAATTCTTCCATGCGGCTAACCCACTACACAACAGAGTTCGAGCCAGAAGCAAAAGCGCAAGCCTTATGCAACTTTTACCTCACTATTTTGGAGTGTTGAAGAAGCACGGGGGGCAGGCGCTGAGTAAAACAACTTCTTCCTTTGCTTCTGCACCTCGCCTTGCAAAGTCACTCCTTTGCCTGGACACCCCAAGAAAGAGGCTAAAGCCCTGAAAGTTCTGGTCAGACCTCTGGCTTATGGTAACTCTGGTCTCTCTCTCTTTCTCTCTCTCAAAAACACACGTCTTCGGCTAGTGTGTGGTCAGGTGGTGGCCCAAAACCGTATTGTAGGGGGAGAGGATGCGTCTCGTGGGGCATGGCCGTGGCAAGTCAGCCTCCAGTACAACGGACAGCATGCCTGTGGGGGGACCCTCATCAATACTGAGTGGGTGCTGACGGCGGCCCATTGCTTCCCGAGGTGAGTGGCTGGGAGAATGCTCCCCCCGCCAAATGCAGAAATAAATAAATATCCAAAAAGACGACGATGACAAAAATAATCCGAAGCCGGCCTCTGTGGTGCTTTAAAAATCCGTCCCCTGCAGCTGTTGTGGGGCTGTGAGAAAAGCAATAACTAGGGCTGGCAGGTCCCCTCCCCGGCCACTGGTGTGTGTGGGGGTAGCATTGCTTGCCTCAGGTTGTAAAATTCCTGGAGATTTGGGGGTGGAGCTTTTGGGGGACAGGGACCTCAGGGTGATACAACGCCATAGAGTCTCCCCTCCTTTTAATTCTCTGCTCTTATGACGACCGTCTTGAGCCTTAACAGCTCAGCACAGCAACAAAAGAGCAGTGATAACAGTAATGATAACAGTGAGTACACCAATGACAGGCCTGATTTATGCGTGGCCACTCTACGCTGGGACAGTGTGCAATTCTTTATCACCTGGCAGAAAAATATATGACCTTAAGTGGTTCCCTCTGTGTTGCCTTCATTGACCTACAGGCAGCTTTTGACTCCGTACCAAGAAATCAGCCACGGAAGGTGACTAAATCTTGCAGGAGGGGAGGGAGAGGGGCACATGCCACCCCCCTAGTCTTCTCAAAAGCATTTAAAGGATACCTTTAAGTGCTTTTGGAAAGAGGGGGGGCTTTAAGAAGTGGGAGCCCTTTAAGGAAGGGGGCAGAGCCCCCAATAGCCCCATTGTAGCTATGGTCCAGGTCTCTCCCCCCCCCAGCATTAATTTCTACAGGGGAAGTGAACTCTGTCGTCTGGAGATGAACTGTAATTCCGGGAGATTTCCAGGCCCAGGGCCGGCCCGCCCATAGAAAAATTTAGACTTTTGCCTAGGGCGTGCGGCGCCCCCCCTCATGAAGGGGCACCGCGGTGGCCTGCTGCCCTGCCCCCGCCAAAAGTCCTGCTCACAGAAGCTCCTACCATGCCTCACATTTGGGCCCCCCCCATCTCTCTCTGTCTGCAATGGGAAACCTGCTGAGGAGCCAGAGAGGCGCAAAGATAAAATGGAGCTGGGTGTTCCTGGGAACAAAGCCGAGCGGAGGGGCAGAGCAGCGTCTGGCTGTGGGCACCCCGAGGCTATACTTTAGCCCGGCTGGAAGTTTGGATGTGGATGGGTGGCTTCCTCCCTCCCCTTTTTGAATTTGCAACAACAACAAAAAGGCTTGTTTTCTTTCTCCCTTGATTGCAAAGTGTAACCCTTAAGCCATGTGCTTTGTTAGTTAACTAGCTGTGTGTGTGTGTGTGGGAGAAACACACGCTCCAAAAAGAAAGTGGAGTTATTTCATTGCGGAGCAGAGGAAGGAATTGTTTCGCAGCAGCCCCCCCCCCCCCCGGCGGGGGGGGAAGAGGCCCTTTGGAAAAGGGAGTGGCTTCCTCCCTCCCCTTTTTGAATTTGCAACAACAACAAAAAGGCTTGTTTTCTTTCTCCCTTGATTGCAAAGTGTAACCTTTAAGCCATGTGCTTTGTTAGTTAACTAGCTGTGTGTGTGTGTGTGGGAGAAACACACGCTCCAAAAAGAAAGTGGAGTTATTTCATTGCGGAGCAGAGGAAGGAATTGTTTCGCAGCAGCCCCCCCCCCCCGGCTGGGGTTGAAGAAGCACTTTGGTAAAGGAGGGGACTTTTTCAAACCTGCCGGATTCTGGGGCAGGGATGGCAGCAGCGGTGGGGACGCAGAAGCGGCGCCGGAGCCATCAGCGGAGTGCCCCCCTTCCCCAGGCCCACTCGGAACCAACACCAGGCCAGTTCTACGCTGTGCACAGGAATGCAGCTGCAGGGATTTCTTTTGCAGTATTGCACACAGGGCCAGCACAAGGTAGCCTCGCCTTGTGCGCAAAACCCCCCCAAAACTTGGGTCGGCCCTGTCCAGGCCCAACCAGTAGACTGGCACCTCTACAAGGAAACTGGACCCAACTTGTTTGCAAGTGCCCAGTTTGGCCCATATTTAATAGTATGCAGCAGGACTAGTTGAGATTCTGGCTCTATCATGAAGCTCACTGAGTGATTTTGGGACAGTTGCTCTCATTCTCAGCCTGATCTCCCTCACAGGGTAGTTGTGTGTATTAGTCCCTCACCGGGGGGAGGGGGAGTAACCAACCATCTATTTCCATATGATGTTGTGAATGCTCAATGTAAAATAAATTGGCTGCGACATGAAAATAAACATGGCCGACAATGCTGCATTTGCAGAGAGGCAAGGAATCAAGGCAGTGAGGACAAGGGTGCGGGTTGTCATCAGGGTTATCAGGAGGTATGGATATGTGATGGCTGAGGCTGACATGTCAAGATAGGAGCTTGGCATGATAGATTTTTTTTTTGCATTTTTGCATTGTGTGTGCGTGTGCGCCCATACCTGGAAGTCAAGGTGACCTCTGGCAACTCCTATTGGGGAATGAAGGACATTCAGAGAATTGGCTTGATAGCCTGCCTCTGGCCTCCCGGCCTTAATATTCTCTGGAGGTCTCCCATCCAAATACTCACCAGTTTGGCCTTGCTTAACTTTTGAGATCTGATGAGATCGGGCTTGCCTGGGCTATCCAGGTCAGCACGGCATGATAGATCATTTTGAATTTAATCCTACAGTACTCTCTTTTCACTTGGGAACTCCAGAAGCCTTGACTCTTGGATGTTCCTCCAAACAGGAATTTAATACTTGAGAACTTTCAAGCAAACCTTGGGAACTACCAGCTCTTGAACTCAGATCCCAAAGCTGTGTGGTTGAGAATTTCCCAGGTGATTGTGCACAAGAGCTATGCCGGAGATGGGACCAGTGGCGATATAGCTTTGGCCCGGTTGGAACATCCAATCCGCTTCACCTCACTCACCCTTCCGGCCTGTCTTCCAGATGCCAGTGTCCAGTTCCAAAATGGTACCTTATGTTGGGTGACAGGATGGGGATCCCCGCAATATGGAGGTGAGGATGAGTTGTGGGTTGTAGAGTCATAAGACCAGGGAGTGAGCAAGTGGTGGTTGTGGGACAGAAGTGAGTGGTGAGACAGGCAGATTTGGGGGAGTAGCCATTGTAGTAAAATGGTTGAAGCATTTTTGGAACGGGTGGAATTTAAGGTGCTCCCTGGTGTGTAGCTGGAAGGACTTCAGAAAAGCTGGCTCAGAAGGTTTAGGGAGCTTTTAAAGGGGCTCTTAAGAAAGGGGGTGGCATGATTCAGTGAGGGTTCAGTGATAGCGAGGACTCCCCAGGAGAATAGGACTTGTTAGTCGGAGCCCTGTGATGCCAGGCTTTAGTTAACAGAAGTTGACTGGCAGGGAAATGAGCTGCAGGCTTGTCAGGATTCACAGCCAACAGCTGGTGCAGAGCCACTGACACCCTCCAGCCCTGATTCAGCAGGTGAACCTCAATTGGCCATTCCCAGTCCACCAGTATCACCTACACCCTTAGAGCACTGCAGATGGAGGCTGAGAACAGAGCTACATAGAAGAAGGCAAAGTGCACGCATCCTGGCCCAATGCCAGTTGCTTGCTGATAATGAAGATGAGTACTTGCAGGATTGCTTCTGAGCAACTGGTTGCAAGCATGACCCTTAGGTGCGGGGCTATAAAACCAGCCAAGAAAGGCTGTTAGGTGTGGATGCAATGCCCGTGGTAGAAGCTAAGCCACTGACTCTGCCTTGCCTGACTTCTGGACCCCTGACCTTGGGCTGAATGACTCTGCTTTGCCTGACTTCTGGCACCTGATACTCAGAGCCTGAAAACCAGTACAGGGGACTTAGGTCACACAGACACGAGTTGTCCGGCTTGGATGCTATTGGGAAGAGGTGTTTTTTCCTGCTTCCCCACAGCATTGTGGTCTTCTGTCCATCACCCAGTTTTTTTTGCCTTTACCATGAACTTTTCCAAACCCACCTTGCTGTGATGTTTTGGGGTAGGTTTGTAGCGAAGCCAGGCTAGTTGCTGTATGAGCAGGAAAGTCCAGATTCTCCCAGTGGATATTCCCCTCCAGGAGACTTTCCTAAACTGATAATTATATATTGGCATAATCAACAAACAAACAAAAAATACCCCTCTTCCCCTGGCGGTATGTGGTAGTGGGTGGCTGCTGTTGGAATCGAGGCAAGGAAAATGCAGGGAAACCTGCCATTTTGGAGCCACATTCTCATGATGCTGCATCTGCAGCCTCGTTGGCTCCAGGTCATCCACAGGAAAGCCTTGCTGTGGCGAAAAGGTCTTTATGAGCTCTGTGGAATTAGAATGGATGGGGCTCCAGGAAGCTTGAGATATGAATGCAGGCCTAACTTGATCAGGGGTGGCTTGAAGTGGCTTACGAGTCAAGCCCTTCATTGGATTGGGAGAAGAAGAAGAGAAGAAGAGACTGGATTTATACCCCACCCTTCACTACAGAGAAGAGTCTCAGAGCGGCTTACAAACTCCTTTCCCTTCCCCTCGCCACAACAGACACCCTGTGAAGTAGGTGGGGCTGAGAGAGCTCTTGACAGAAACTGCTGTTTTTTAAGAACAGCTGTGCCAGAACTATGGCTTGCCCAAGGTCATCCAGCCAGGTGCAAATGGAGGAGTGGGGAATCAAACCCGGTTGTCCCAGATTAGAGTTCGCATACTTAACCACTGAACCAAACTGGGAGAAGAGCTTTGAATGGGGTGGAGCTTAAAAGAAGGGAGGTGCTTATCTATGAGAGGAAAAGTGGAATAAGTAGTAAATTATTATTATTATTTATTATTTATTCGATTTCTATTCTGATCTCCCCCACCATCATGGGGCTCAGAGCGGATCACAACATATAGTAGACGGTTAAAATACAATTAAAAACATATAAATTTAACCCATTTCAAATATTTATAATTAATCAGATGGCATATAATAATACTATCACTGTCCCAGGGGAATAAAAAAGGGGGAAGAGGCAGGGCTATATAAAAGTATTCTCTTGGCTTCACACCATATTTGGCGGTCCAACTCTGTTTTTCAGACCCTGCGGAAGTGAACCAGGTCCCACAGGGCCCAGATCTCACTTGGAAGTGTGTTCCACTTAGTAGCAAGTTAGTAGTAATCCAGTAGTAAACTGGAAGTAAATTAGGAATTAGTAGATCTCAAGGCAATTGGATTAGGTAGTGTGCATTGAGTGGCATGGGTAGGGGAAGAGGATGTGACTGATGTTGGGGTGGGACTTGTTGTGCATCACTTCCTTTGTCTTGCTTGATTTTCTGTCTCCTTTCTTCTGTCCCTCAAGCTTCCCTTGGGGCTCCTAAAACACTACAACAGCTCCAGCTGCCCTTGATAGACACCTTAGCCTGTGATGCCTTGTACCACATCGGCACAGGCATCAGCTCCAGCAAGCGAGAGGTCCAGGATGACATGATCTGTGCTGGGTATGCCAAAGGAGAGAAAGATGCCTGTCTGGTAAGGGACAACCCATGGGTCTTAGTAGCGAGGGTGCAGGGAATACCCAAGTTTGGGACATAATAAGGAGCTTGCTGAAGGGTAGGGAATGTGTGTGTCAGACATATAAGGGGTCGTTTCGTAGAAAAAAAGCTAGGGGAACTCATTAGCATATGCCACACCCCTGACATCACCGGAAGTGTGTCATAAGGCCACACCCCCTGACATCACCAGAAGTGTGTCATAAGGCCACACCCCCCGCCCCCAATGGTCCCGGCCGGCGGGAGTGCAAGGAAGCCCCGTGAAGGCCCTCCCTGGCCCCAGGCAGGCAGGGGTGGGGAGAGGCAGGGAGGAAGCAACTTACCCTCCCTCTTCTGCCTCCTCCTGGCTGAATGAGGGCCGGAAGCGGGGCGGCCGGAAGCAGTGGGCGGGGCTTCGTCATGTCCCCCCCCGTACCTCACCCGAGGGAACTGCGATCCCCCGCGATCCCCCCCGAAATGACCTCTGCATATAGTTAACTTTGGCCAAAGAAAAAAAAATCTGGGGATTTAGTTTACCCAGAAGCCATATCCCCTAATTCCAGGTATGGGTAGCCATCTTGTGGTGTCCCAGGACAGAGGAGTAGTGGTTAGAGTGTCAGCCTAAGACTTGGGGTGACCAGGTTTGAATCACTTGCTCAACCATGGAAGCCCACCAGGTGACCACAGGCCCATCCTTAGGTTGTTGTTGTGAGGATTAAGTGGAAGAGGGAGGGAACCATGTGAAAACCTGCTGTAGGCCCCAATCAAGGAGAGAAGCAGGATATAAACATCAAACAAACAAGCAAACCTCTGCACATGCACAGTGGCAGACCTGGGAAAAATATAGTTACCCTGGTATTTCTCTGTTGGGTTAAATCAAAGGTAATAGAGAGCTCATTTGGGATATCTTTGTGTATGTCTTCAAGGCGTGTATATGACAGCATCCCATGGGAAGGAAAGTGGGTTTGGAAACAGTCTTGGCCCAGATCCAAGTACATAATGATCTCCCTGTTTTTCTCCACCTAGGGTGACTCTGGGGGCCCTCTAGTCTGCCATGTGGATGGTTCCTGGTTCCTGGCGGGCATTGTGAGCTGGGGTGACATGTGTGCCATACCCAACCGCCCAGGGGTCTACACCCGAGTTGGTTTCTACCAGGACTGGCTAGAGAGACACCTTCCCAGTGTTCAGTTTGGCCTAGTGAACATCACTGTCTACTCTCTGCCATCGGCCTCCACCACCACCCACAAAGATTTCTGCCTTGTGCTTCTCCTCGTGGCCTCCGGCCTCACCAGGACGCTTCTTACATAGACGAATGGCATTGTGCCCCTAGTGATCCTCTTACCACAACACACAGTAAGGACAAGGGGGAAAAAATTCCGTGAAATCAGCACTTTCCACTAAAACGTTCCTGGAGATTATGGGCAACGCAGTTGCTTATGCTGCCCTTCGTGACACACCAGAAGCCCAGTTAACACTATCTGCTACATGGTCATTTTAACTGGAGATGTTGGGGGTTGAACCTTGGACCTTCTGCATGCAAAGCAGAGGCTCTGTCACCACCCCTCCTTGAGAGAACACTTTCTGGTCTGCAAGGTTTTAGACTATTTCATGATTTCTAAACAAGAACAATATAGGGTTTTCTGAGCTTGGTAAGCACATCATGGGTTTCTACAAGATGAGGGATGGGGAATGGCATTTTCCCTGGTGAGGAAGCAACACAGAGCACTTTGCACAATTCCCAATCCCCTCTGTTGCTCCCCCTCCTCTCCTGGAGTATTACCTGGACAAGGACTTCAACATCCAGTCCTTAAAGACGCTGCTCATGGAATCTGGTAAACAGAAGCGGATTTGCACAAACTGTGTCAATAATCACAAAGTATCTGTTTTGCAATACATACCTCTCATTCTTCTCTCGTGCACTGCTTCGGAATGAGGAGGAGGCTTTTACCAGCTGGTATACAGCAGCTGAAAATTACTGCTAAAAGCGGGGGGGGGGGGAGGTTAAATTTAGTATGACTGGTGTTATTATTGGAAGAATATCATTATAATATTGCAAAACTCTTTGTTTCCCCCTCAAATGGCGTTGCCCCGCCCCCAGCGTGCGACGTCACTTCCGGGTGACGCACACGCGGGAGTGGGGTGGGCAGGAGCGGGAATCGGGGCTCGAAACCGGGGGGGATTCTGCCCCCCGGGGGGATTTGGGAACCCTAGTGGGGAAGAACCGGGTATGTGGTGGATGTGAGATGTTGCACTTAGCTCACCACAAAGGTGTTATGAGAAAGAATCAGCGGCTTTATCCGTTGCACGTTTCTGTTCACTGTTACCCTGTATGTTTAGTCATATAAATCTTGTTGCATTGTTTTGTATGTGGGAGTTTAAGAAATTTTATTTAACATACACTGTCTGGCGCATTCTAATCCTGATTTAGCCCTATTGGACTCAGACAGGCATAAGTTATATTAGCACCATGCCACAGGGCAGAGTCCTATCTGCAAACTGTGGCTTGGCTTACTGGTATTAGCAAAAGTGTCAGTGAATGTGCAATACTTACCATAGTTATCACCGAAACCAAAGAGACAAATGTGAAAGAAAACAATGCTACCCAAGAAGGAAGGAAGGAAGGAAGGAGTATGCAAGCTCTCCAAACGTTCCTGATCCACCTAACCATGGTTAAGGTATGGGAAGGCCTCAGGTTGTCCTTCTGTACACTGGACATTACAATATTACTGTTTCTGAGGGCTTACAATTGAAGCCTCATGCAGCCTCAGTTTGCCTTGGGGCTGTGTGAGGGAGGGAAGGAGGGGTTTAACATTTTAAGCATGCTCAAAACTTGCACTGTTGGTAGCCTTTTAAAGCTATGTCCTTTAAAAAAATGTTTGGCAAGTTATGAAGCAGCTAGAGTTTCTGTCACTAATTTCCTCCTCAGGATTTGAAACTTGTGGTCAGAGGTTTAATGCCTTTCAGTATGACTAGGGATAAGAGCAATTCCTTTCTAAATGATGTCGTCATTTCTCTGATTATCTGTGTATATGAGTTATACTTCTTTGGCCTTCTGCTCTTCTGTTCAAGGCTTCTCTTTTTCTGCGTGTGTTTGGTCTGAAAAAACCTATTTAAGCACATTAATATGCATTTGAATACATATTTGACTTCCGTATTGGATATTTCATATGTGTTTGGGGAGTGTTGATGGGAGATAGGAGGCATAAAACACCAGCCTCTGAGATTAGCTGCAGCTCCCCCTACTGGACAATCTATAGACTTCTGGGCATTCGAGTGTTGCATTGGTAGAGCTGAACTGTTGTACTCAACTGAATATATTCATAGTTTCATAAGAGGAAAAATCATAGGATCGGATAACACGCGATCAGGTCCATTTTGATTTCCTGTGCCTCAAAATCAGCAATTGCCAATAATTTTCTCTACTTCTGAGCAGTGTTCCCTCTAAGCTGAGTGTGAGCTAGCTCACCGTTTTTTAGCCTCCGGCTCACATATTTTCATCTTGGCTCAGGAAGAATGGCTGCAGAGCAAAGTAATTTATGCAGTAGTCAAATCACCAGCTCACAACTTTAATGCCGGTAGCTCACCAAGTAGAATTTAGTCTCACAAGACTCCACAGCTTAAAGGGAGCATTGCCTCTGAGTAATGAACTATATTTCAAGCTACCCCTCCCCCCTGGAATGCTACCAGGTTTTGTTCAGAACACGGGCTTGGAAGTGCACCAGAAATGAAACAGCACAGAGGAAAACCCTATGAGATATATATATTTAAAAGCCTAGAGCAGGTGATTTTTTTTTTTGCGATCTTTTCCTGGGTCTTCTGAATCCATGTATCAGGACTGTAGCCAGGATTTTGTGGCTTGTGGGGCATTTTTTCTTCTGGTAGGGGTGAAGTTCTCAATGAATAGGAAAATCTTTTTTTCCCTGACTTAAGCAAAGCCCCTTCCCATTGAAGCTCCTCCCTTCCCTAAACACCACCCTCCTCAGGCTCAACCCCCCAAATATCCAGGTGATCAGGGTCCCAACATCGACTGACCCTTCCTGGACCAAGGGATGCCAGGCTGGTTAGTTCCAGGGCTAGGGCTTTCTCAGTGGTGGCTCCTTTCTGGTGGGATGAGCTCCCAGAGGAGATCAGGGCCCTGCGGGACCTTACGCAGTTCCGCAGGGCCTGCAAGATGGAGCTCTTCCACCGGGCTTTCAATTAGGAGCTGCCCTGAGGTTTTAGATCTATTTAAATTACTTATTGTTTTTTTTAATTCTCTCTGTAAGCCACCCTGAGCTGTCCGGAACTGGGTAGGATGGGGTATAAATTTAATAATTAAAAAAACCAAACAAAACAAAACCTGGCAATGGCAACCTACTAGCAAACCTCCTTCCACTGCAGAGATTCCAACCTCAATTTCAAAACAGTTTGGCACACCTAAGGAATAAAGGGTTTCCAAGGGAAAAAAATCTTGTGGGGCTGTCTGTTGGCAGAAAAAAATGTGGGTGTGTGTCTGCACATGTCTGTGAAAGCGTGTTTACCCATGTCACCCACATTTTTTCCCCTCAGTTTGTGTGTCTCCTGTGTGTTTGCCTCCTTACCTAAGGCAGAAGTGTAAGCTTGGAAATCACTAAGGCTCTTGCAGAGACATTCAAAGGTCTCTTCTTAAAATGAAACTTATCTTTATTATAGAAAAACATTCAGAGATTTGTCTGGCAAGATGACCGCAAGACGCTATGCCAGCCTGCCAACACAGTAGAATCCTATTTCCTAAACATTGATAGAATACACAGAAAAATAAACATGCAGCAAAGTTTCCCCC